CCGAGAAGGTTTACCTTATCCTTGAACAACATATGCCTTGCATCCAACTGGTACTTTTTTTTTTTTCTCTCCCACTTGATTTTGGTTTTTCAAGCATTGCTTTGGCTAACTTGTTCAGGCAGGTGTGTCTACAATAACTGCGAGGAAAGCTAAGAAGGGAACAATTAGCTCCACTTCTCAATGAACTGCATTATTGATGAATAAAGTGAGGCAAAAATAGAAACCGCTTATGCCAAGCAGTACGCTGAGGTAAGGATTCTCTCCACGCCAATCAACAAACGCTCGCACAAACACAAATGAAGGAAGGCTTTCCAATCGACGGGCGTGCGCCAAACAAAACACGAGGGGGATCCTCGCTTGCATTCCTGTAAAAAGGATTTTGCGCGCATGTCCCAATGGTGTAGTTTGCCACTAATCTACACGAATGCAGAAGTGAAGTCATAATCACAGTAAATACTTGAGTGAAAAAAAACAACTTTGAAACTGCAAGTAACAGTAAGTTCATGACCAGCTGTTCCAAACCTTTAAAAACGTACATTGTCGTGACCGTCATAAACCAACGACCCCCTTGTACTCGCTGCACTGGAAAAGAAGTCGTCATCGGCAATGTTAAATGTGTTTCTGTAGACTGATGCTCCTTCCTGTAATATCTTGCACTCACCGGGCACACGTGATGATTTAACCTCTGCATTTTCACGGCGGTGCCTTGCGAGTGGTAAATAATTCATTTGGTCCCTCGGTGGTGGAGATGTTTCCGATGCACAAACACTCTTGCGCCGTTTCATGCGCGTGCATTTCGGACAAGTCTTGACGTTCCATTCTCCAACCCTCCTCCTTTTAATCAGCCGACCGAAGCCAGAAACAACAGCCACCCGGCGGAAAGCACATATCTTGTGAACTCCCTCACCGCTGGGTGCTCACTGTCTTTCTGACAGCAGCTGGCGGGTGTTGTGCGGTGCCATTACAGCGGCGAGGACCATTGCCACTGACACCTTGAGTGGAATAATAGCCCGCGCGTGCAAGTTTGTGTGTGCGCGCTTGTGCACGTCCCTGCGTGCATCATCTGCTGGTGGTTCCTTTGTCATGTCGACATCTGTTGCGCTCTCACCAAAAAATATATATATCGATCACTGGTTTCATCAAAAGGAAGATATGGACAGTGTCAAATGTATAGTTAGAAACTTAATGACATTTGCGGAAATGGTCGATGAAGCAGCATTTGGCTCATTGCCTGTGGTTATGCTACTGCTCTCTGCTCCAAGTAAATGTAACCAATTATAGATGTTAAAGTTGCAATTTTCCCTTTTACCTTTTTAACTGTCCTGCCTTTGGTTTAAAGCAGCGGGTGGCAAACCCATTTTTGTCACGGGCCACATTTTAGTTTCCCTTGGAGGGCCGTTATGACTGAAACCATAATCAAGAAGAAGAATAACGGTTTAGTCAACTGTTGTTGAAGTTGCTGTCATGAGGGATTTGGCAACAAGAAAATGCTTACAATATCTCTCTTATGTATGACGTAGGAGAATCTGAATTTTGGTACAGATTTTAACAAGCGTCATGGAAGTTGACATTTTTGATTTGCTTTTGCGGGCCACATAAAATGATGTGACGGGCCAGATCCGGCCGGCGGGCCTTGAGTTGGATACCCGTGGTTTAAAGGAAGATTGTAAAAAGGACTTATGCTTCATCAACGGATGACCCCGACTCACTGTTTTTGTCAGCTTTGACGCTTTGAGCGCAGCACCATTTATTCCAGCTCGGCTACATCAGATAGCTTAGCAATTACTGTATTTTCCGCGCGATAAGGCACACCAAAAAGAATTCAATTTTCTCAAAAGCCATCTTATAATCCGATGCGCCTTATATATGGATCACTATTCAGATTTCTTGGACGCAGTATTTTAAATGTTCTGTTTTTAAATGTGCTTTGGTACAGCTGCAGCGGTTGGGTAAGTGCCATATAAATATAGTTGCATTGTATTGTATTCCCTTTAGCGTAGCTCCATCTTGTGGATGCATAACACAACCTCAGCCGCTATTGTAGCTTCTATTCTGTGCGCCTGAAAAATGCCATGCACCCGATAGATGAAAACAGTTTCAAAATAGGCCATTCATTGAAGGTGCGCCTTATAATCCGGAGTGCCTTATAGTGCGGAAAATACGGTACCGTTACGAATGAAACGGACTGCTAAGAGAGAGGCGGGGAATCACTTCGAGTACGTACATACCGCTGTTGGTTTGTATCGTTCACTCTTGGGTGGAAGCTCTCAGAGCGAAATTCCCCCAAGAGGATCTCAAGCTGAGAAGAGAGCTTTTCTTTATATACATTTGTGGTCAATTAGTTCAAGAAGATCTTGGACAACGGGGGAGTCTTCACCGCCAAGAGGCGTTTAGGGTGATTTTTTTTTTTTTTTTTTTTTTGTGAAGCCAGCGGGATTCCGCCGTCTTAAACGCTCTCAAGTGAACCGAGCTAACGGCTAACGGCGGCGCCCGCAGCGCGCGAGTGTTTTTAAACGCGCCGAAAACGCTAATGGACTTATCAGCAGGCTTTGCTATTACAACAGTCAACGGAGCAAAACGTGTTGTCGACGGCGGCGTGGCATTAGTTCCACCGCATTAGACACAAATAAGCGTGCAGCCCTCTCGCGACTTCACCTACAGTAACACGCGGCATGCCCGTTTACGGCAAGACGGCATGTAAGCGGCGGGCCGTTTTGAGACGAAACATTTTGACTGTTTGGAAGGAAATAAGCACAGCGTTGCCCTGTTTCACTATATCAAAGCGTAAAGGTTCAAATGCATCGCTCTCGCCTGGAAAAAGGGGACATTTTTATACCATGTGACCAGATAGTCCTGGAAAAAATTGAATGAAAATAATTAAAGTTAGATACATTTGAGTAGGACTGTTTTGTAAAGAATGGAATTGTAACGCTCAATGTAGAAGAAAGGCTGTCAGTCACGAAGGTATTTTAAATTTACAAACAAGGACAAAGTTCTGTTCTTATGGTGGCACCGTATTTTGAATTTGTTCAAAAGCAGTCATGTAGTCCCGCCTCTTGCTAACTTATGCTAACGTAGTCGTAAAGCCGTAATCACAGGAAATATGTGTTTGAAAAACACATCTCGGACATAAATATAAAATGATCAACTTAAATAAAACTTGTGATCCGTATTCTTCCTGGTTCATCGTGCGTCTTTGACAACCGCCAAACCGGCAATATATTGTATGTTAGCATTTCATGAGGTGCACCGCACTGTGTAAAAAAATTCTATTACGTTCGCAAGAGAATGGCATTTTTGTTAGCCACGAAATTACACTTGAGAGCTCGTGAGCTAAGAACGTTACCACACCCACGCTTCTTTTCCAAATAGCATACAATGACCCTTTTCCGACGCAAAATTAAACCTCCAGTTCCCACACTCGGGAGATCCCGTCTCATATCAGACGAAATCTGGAATTACAACCTTACGCTTAGGCTTCGCCTTGAGCTTGAGGTTTTTTTTTCTCCAATCTGCCCTAAAGCATCACTTCAAAGGCACCTGTGCCTGCTCTGATGTGATACTTCAAAACGTTGAGATACTGCATTATAAAAGCCAGACACACGCGGCAAATTAAGTCAGTTTCAAGGCTGACTTCAAAGTGTGGTTGGCTGCGAAGACGACAAAAAAAAAAAACTCCGAGGCCACTGGTCATGGTCAATGCGCAAAGTGAACGACGAGCCGGATAAAATCTTGATCAGTCACACGTTGATGTTAGCATTCCAAATCCACAGGAGTCTGAAACTTCTTCTTGGGAGTCATTTGCTGATCTCAAAAAAATGTCAGAAACAATTGCTGCTCATGGCGTGAATTTCTCCACAAAAGACTATTCGGTAAATGTGTTTAACGTTGTAAACATCATCAGTTCCGTCAAATTAATTAATTAATTAATTAATTGATTAATTAATCAATTAATATCCTTCCTCTATAACTGCTTCAAACAACAAAGTGAATGGAGGAAAAGTGGTTCGGATGGCACGACTGTCTGTTTTATGTGTTGTCTTATTTTGTCATTTTATGTTAAGTGTTCTTTTGATGGCGGCGCGGGCACCCGCAGCGGCTCCTCTTGTTGTCTGTTTAAGAGTGAGGAGATTTCATCTGTGCTGTATGTTAGCATATTTGACAATAAAGTTGTACTTGATACTTGAAATAAATAAATAATCTGGATATGTTCCCCGCATTAGTTGGAACAGCGACGTCCCAAATGTGATTCATGTCAATCATTAGCTATGACTTGTACTCATAATCATACGGCATACACCCATGTTAAAAGTGGGCAATCTATCACACCGTGGTATTTCACAAATGCCACAATGGAGCAAAAGTCGAGAAGATAGCTCAAAATTATAAGAAAACCCCCAAAGCGAACCTCTCAAAATCCATGACAACCTGACATTTTTTTTTTTTTTTTTGCGGCAGGTTTTGAATCAACGAAGCGTTGCAGCAGGTGCGGTTTCTTCTTTCCTATAAGGGGATGAGATCACCGGTGTTCTCAAACATCCCTTCATGTTTGCACACAAACTCGGCTCGCCCCCCTCCCAGCCTTCCTCCCTCCCGCCGTGCGTCCCTCCCTGCTGTCTCGCCTGGCACCGCTTCCCACTCTCGCCGCAGATGGTGACGGGAGACAGACGCAAAGCAGGCAACGGCAGCAGTTGGCTTCCGTGACGAAACGTCACATCTAATCTTCCTCGAACGTAAGTCGTGTGTTGGTCACTGAATCACATGTATCGAATCACCCCCCACACCCCCCCCACCTTATTTGCCGCTTGTTTCCACACCTATTAACCTCTGGGATGTGACCTCCCAGTCACATATCCATCCAGTCTCCAGCTTTCGTGGTGACAAATTACTGACTGCTTGCCTCTTGACAAGATTTCAGAAAAAAAAACTTTTATGTCCCCGCATGCATCCGAGTCATCAAGGGCCCCTTTTGAGGGATCGATAGTAATCATAACACTTACCAGCTGCATGCCACAGATAAAGGCCAAGGTACACCTGCCGCTGCAGCACCCCATGGCGTCCTCCGCACCCTGCCTGCCCGCCAGTCGCGTGGGGAACGTCCCGGCTCTCCGGCTCGGTTTGTTAATTTTGCAGTTCCTCCTTGGAGCTGTCGGGCCAAGTCGAGGCGCTCACTGCTTGGCCTTGAGGGGTTCCCGGGAGACGTGGGGACCCTTGCGCTCTGGTGGGAAAATGGTCGTGTCTTGTCTGGGAAAGCACTTTTAGGAGTGTGTCATTTTGATCGTTAATTCACATCATTTGTAAAATGGGAGGAAAGCTTGCATGAAGAAAAGTTTGATCCCAGAGACAATAAAGCAAGGTGTCATCTTGAAAAAAAAATGTATTTCATGAAAAGTCAAAAACTCTTTGCTCCAGATCAATTAACAATTATAATTTGGTTGATAATCCCACTTGGTTCAATCCCGGAAGTGTCTAATATGTAAGAAAAGGTGGTAAAAGTGTCCCTTAGAGGAAGTGCGGACGCGAGGAGACAATGCCGTCCTCAAGAATCCCTCGAAAATGGGACCACGCTGAACCCGAAATTCGGCTCTCCGAGGAGTCAGCGGCCACTTCTCGTCCTCCTCCCCCGGGTGCCGCGTCTCCTCGCCGGGGTCATATCGCCCTCAGCCGCTCCGCTTCCGCCGCCTCCGTCGCACAGGTGCTCCTCCAAATGGGCCGTCACAGCAGATACGTCCGACCGGACCGGAGCGTTTATTATAAAAGACACGTTCGGGTGACGGTGACTCTTCAGTAAGTCTCCATTGAGATGAGATTTTAACCACAAAAAAAAAAGATGTCTGGAATGACGTCCTAATTTGAGGACTCGCCTTGTCACAGTGGACCGGGCGGACAATGGGGATCAAGATGGACCAGCCGAGCGAGAAACCACAACCGTAAGGAGCGTCTCTCGCCCGCCATCTGTAAAGACCAGCGCCGCGCAGGGACATGCCACTTCTGACGGGATCCTTCAAAATAAGACATTGGTAAGGCTGCATTATGCTTTGACGCTATTAGGTTGCTTAACGCAGTCTTATTTTGAAAGTTGTCGTTGAAATTGTCTTATCTCTACGCGGACTTTGCATGGAACTACGCATTCACGAGAACAGTGCTCCTTTCAATTAAATTAATGACATAAAATCCATCAAAACATTAAATAGATCTATCAAATAGATATGAGAGCTATATATTTAAAATAGATGCCTTTAGCGAGGGGAGTGAGGAACATTTTGCATTCGAATTGTAGTTTCTTCCACCACAAGCTGAAGCCACAAAATTAAACGTTTGGTTAAAATGGAACTTTGATTTGATTGCAAGAGGAATACTTGGGTTTCCATTGTACCTGTTCACCCACCAAGTGTCAAATTAAACAATCATGAGTTCAATCTTTTAGCCTGGATATGAAAATGTGGGGGAATATGATTTAAATTTCCACTAGCAAGAAGGCACTCGGATGCTGAAAATGCATTTTTCTAACTGCAAAAAGTTCATTACTGTAGTTGATTGTGAAGTTGTTGATATGGTGGCATTGGGGGTCATATTTTTGTTTCTCCTCTAGAAGAGCCAAACTCTGGATTTTGCTTCTCAGCGAGTTGTGGATCTCGACTCATCCTAACCTCAAAATGACTCAAATCTGGACAGACTTGCTCAAATTAAGATTTTGAGACTACTTACGATGGAACTTAGTTTGAATATGGACGAATTAAAAGTACATTTTCCATTACGCATATACTGTACGCTCCAATGCAAAATGATGCCCATAAGTGTCTGTTTATGGCCATAACAACTGTGACGTAGAGTCATAACTGAGCCGCCATCGGCAATAACTAAGTTCTTGACCTTTCAAGTGATGAATTACTTTGCTCCTTAGTTTTATTTTGAAGGCTAACACGTCCGATCCTTTTCCTGTTTGCGTCTGGCTTCAAGTGGTTGATGTTCCGCTCAGCAGGGCTCTTTTCATTCCCTGCGATGAGATTTTTTGGCCGCGTTCGGTGCGCAGCTGCTCCAGGATACAGCCTTCAACCAATCAAACATACCATGCCCTCTCCCCTCCTGGCCCTTCCCCCTATCAGCGGGGAGCCCTCTCTTTGAGGTTTCACCCTCATCAATTTGTCCTAATTCCTCATTCGCTTCATTAACGTCGCTTTTCTGCTAACCAGCTATTGATGTTGAATACTTAATAGAGGGTGCTTAATGAATTTCATATCCTATATTCAAATTGCTCAACAACTAGCCATCAATTATGCCAGCAAGCGAGAGAGTTTACTCTGCGGAGAGTGGTTATCTCATTTCAGACACTTCATTTAGCTAAGTATCGTCCTTGCTGCCTTGGCTAACAAGAGTGGAACATCCCTAATGTGGTCAAATCTGTCAAGTTCTGAACCGAACCGAATACTGTTTTGGATTTCGGAAATGCAGGCTCAGACAAAGTGCGATAACAAAAATATTTATCACAGAAAAGCGCGATGACAAAGTAGAAACTGAAATTGCTGGTCACAAGGAGCCAGGAAAAAAAAAACAATGCATAAAACAAAAAGCGGTTGCAAAGGCAACGTACAAGAGAATACACAAATGAAATATCACAAGTCCAACAACACAAAACCAAAAATCGAGATCGATAAAAAAGGAAAATGAAAATACAAAGTTCCATGACAAATTGGGAGCGACTATGAACGCTATCGAGAGGTCGAGAATACAACACTTGAAGCACAACCGTGAGCAAAGTCAATAATCCGACGAGAGACTCAGCAATTTGGCAGTCCTTAAATACATGTTGGAGGGAACCGCCCATCACTCCATTTGGGGCTGAAAACAAAACAGACAGACAGACATGATAAATTCTGAGGGTTTAACCAATATTTTTGGATTTAAAAAAAAAAAAAAAGTTAAACAAAACACCATGGCCAAGCATGACCTCATGTGACATCTTGGCATCAAATGGTTAACACATTTTTTTTTTTTGAGTCGTTATATGAGACCAAAGCAGACGGCAGAGACAGAAACTGTGATGATAACTAACGAGGGGTTCGCCCAACAGTTCCTTGGCAAAATAAGCTTCAAAAGTCAAACTAAAGGCAAACATCGAGCGTGATGTCATATGAGATGCCCGCAAACTCCACAGGACTTAACCCCTAAATTTCTTTTGCTTTTTGTTTCCTTCTCTTTATCATGTACACCGCAGATGAAGACCAGCGATTGCAAATGAGGACAAACATGTTTCCATAGTGAGTAAGTTAACCTTCTTTTCATCTCATTGAGCTTTTTTTTTTTTCAATTTATAGTCACGCTTGGATGACAGGAGTGTTATGACTTCAAAAAATGGCACATACAGTGAATGAATGGCTCAGTTGTTGAGCCTATCTCTGCTCCCCTCCGTCGCCATCAATCATTGTCGGCGTCCACCCCTCCCGCATACACACAAAGAAACACGCTCACCACACAGGCTGCAAGGGGAGTTTAATTATGCTGCTAATCTTGATTGACAGCGGCGTACATAAAGGCAGATTCCCGCGAGCTATGTGTCAAAGCGACCGCCCAGTCATGCGGACCTATTTAGTCATCCTTCCATATTCCCCGCCACCCCCCCACACTTTTTTTTCCCCATCTCTGCTATCCCGCCGCTGCTTCTCGCACTTCCTTCCTCTCTTATTCATCCCACAATGAGTAATTCAGCCTCCTTGGTCACACTTTATAGATGGTCATCAATGGGGGAAACGCCTAGTGACCTGGAACCTGAGGGGGAGGCACTCCGACGGTGATGATGATTGGGGGAAGGGGGTTAATTTGACAGCCAGTGATTGTCAGTGAGACCGAAATAGATATAAAGGGCTCATAGTCATTTTGCACACTTTCCAACCACGTCTATTCTCCCTTCCAGACCTCTGACACACCTAATATGCAACAAACAAACAGGTAGGAATCAATCAATTCAGAGGCTGGCTGTAAATCAAAGTATGGAGTTTTTCAGAGACATGTGAATGCCATTGAAATCCATGAGAAAAATAGAACACACTTTCAAAACTACTCTCCGCTGAGCCGTAGCGATTTTTGCTGGCCAAGTATGTAAAACACACATGGAATTTGTTTCCGGTAGTATAGGCTACACACATATTGCAAAAACAAGCAACTACGATAAACAAAGACGTGACATATCGGTATCGAAAGGCTTTCCATCATGTCAGGGTCCCATTGTGCAGTCATACCGCCCAATGACAGCTGTGCGACAATATGCAGAGTCATCGAGCAGAGATAGTGATCAGTGTTGCAATACAATACTAGGACGCTTGTGCAGTTGGTGCAGATAATCGTTGCACCGTTTTTAAGTGACCAGCAGCAGTAATTGTCGGACAACTTTAGGTGTATAATTAAACAGAAAGTCCTTGAGAGCTTTAAAGTGTCTGGCGCAATGGAATATTGATCACCGACAATTGTTCAAGTGTGTAGAGAGCTGGAGCTACAGTGATCGTTGCGGTAATACTGTTCCACAAGGGGGTGCAAAAATGCAGAGTATAGATTATAGATTTGAGTTACTGTTTAGGAAATTAATGGCGATAGTGAAGAAGCTGTTTGAATGTCTGTTGGGTTTGGTGCGCATGGTTTGGTAGCGCTTGCCTAAAGTGAGCAGCTGGAAAAGGTGGTGTGCAGGGTGTTGAGGGTCCAGTAGAATTTTCCATGCCCCTGTCTTGGTTCTTGTGGGTAGGGCGGTGCCACTGATTTTTTTTTCCCCCAGTCCTAACTGTCCGTTGCAGTCAGATTTTGTCCTTTATTGTGGCGGCCCCGATGGAGGAACACAGGACTGATTTGACGACAGCTATGTAGAACTGTCAGTCACCAATGGTGTGTAAAGAAATAGTGTAGCGGCATTAGAATACGAGGTCACACTGTTTTTGATTGAATTGATCTATATCTCTGGCCGTGGAGTGTTTTTCATAGAAATATTTTCTGGAATCATGACTTTACTGCTGTGTTGGTGTAGCTTGGTGATAAACTGCGGGTACTTTATGGGCTTAGGTTAAGGCTGCCGTCGGGTTACCAAACAACGC